GACCCCACACCCAGGGCACAACAGTGGCCGAGGGGAAGAGGAAGGTGAATGCCCTGCATCGTGTTAAAATAACACAGAGGCACATGTGTCAGCCCCAGGGTTTCTTATTATATGTGCCTCTGCACCTATCCCCTAGAAACCTCAGAGCATTTCAAACTAGCTACCTGCTGAATCTCACACTATCCAAAATACAGGCAAGTCTTGCCAGTTTTTACCTCTAAAAGGCTTCTCATCTCTGCCCACCTCCCCATCTCCCCAGACATTATTGCCTTTAGCCTGAATCCCACGATAGCCTCTTTACTCAACTCCCAGGACCCACTCCATGCGCCACCCCCAGCAGCCAGACTATCTGGTAAGAGATCGTTTCATCAGCCTCTGCTTCTAAACGTCTGTGGCCTCCTCCTGCTATTAGAAGAATAGCACCTTGAAGGCCCCACCTAATCTGGCGTGGCCTTGCTCTGCAGCCCCACCCACCTGTCACTCTAGAACTCTGACCCTCTGTCTGGAACCAGCAATCTCAGGGCCTCTGCACTTGCCAGTTCCTCCGTGGAGCATTCTTTTCCCCAGCTTGTTCCGTGCCTGGCTTCTTCTCATCCATCAGCTTTCAGCTGAGATTTTCCCTGACCCCCCCATCTAAACAGGCTTCTCTTTGCTTCACCTCTATCACCCTCAGCATGCACCAATATCTGTAATTATTGATCTGTGGGTTAACCTGTTTGTCTCTCTGCCTAGAACAGAAGTTCCACGAGTGCAGGGACTTTGTCTTGTTCTCTACTTTATTACCAGAGCCTGATACAGAACCTGGTACCTAGTGGGAGCGCCAAACAGATCTGCTAATTGATTGAATGAATGGATGAATGAGTGAATAAGAAAAGAATGGATACCCCCTGAGAAAATCAATACCATCAAACTCCCAAAGAACCTTCAAATCAGACCCCAAATGGACCCAGCTTCCTTGAAAAAGTAACACCTTTCCCTTTAGCGAAATAAACCCTAAGTCCTGCCTACACTGAAACTTCCCTGCATTCATTCACACTGTCTTCTCTTACAAATCCACAACATTCTTCTTACTGACAATCTTTCTATTTAGAAACAACTTAAAGTTCCTTGGCTCAGAAAACCAGAACTTGACCTTGGAGTCAGGCCCAAGGTCACAGACTCACACTTGAGGGACTGGGTAGAGAGCCCCGACACCCTCTGAATTGGTTCTACCTCTGGCCCCAAGCCCCACCCTTTAGAGGAATAAAAATGAGAAAAAAGCAGAGGCCCCCAGAGGCCTGACATAATCTCAGGTTGTAGGGAAGCTCTATTTCTCCCCAAGACCGGCCAAAGACCCAAGGGAGGGAGGAAATGTGGATGGCTGGGAGTGAGAGGCATTGGAAGGGCATGGAGTCTGGGAAAAGACACGCCTTATCCGACCTAATCCCTCTGCTTTGAAAGCAGACAAACTTCAAATCCTGAATCCAATATCTACATTTCTGAAGGCCACACAGATGCTATTTAACCTATCAGAACCTCAGTTTCCACAAGTGTAAAATGGATTTCACGATTTCTACTTTAAGAGGATTGCTGAGCAATCTATCCCCAGATGTTATGCCTGGCTGCATCCACCTACCCTTCAATCTCCCAGGATAAGCCTATTGTTAATATGAGAAAAATATAACCCTGTATCAATCATTCCCTGTGACTTGCCCCCCAAATCTGGGTTTACTAGACTGTTTTGAGGCTGGGCCATACAAACTAATCTACATTGACTTCAGTTTGGTAAGTAACAGGGCCAAGCTAATCCCTGAATTTAGCTTATATATGCACAGAAGACATTCAATACATATTTTTCAATGAATGAATTAAATGCCAAGATGGGTTATGTTTATATTGATCCTACTAATCAAGTCTAATAAAATCGAATCTCTTTTTTCACTATCAGTGTGTGTTGCTAGGCACCAATCCACCTTGTGCTTTGATACCATAGACATGTGGCAAGAAAACAGATTTAAGCCATTATAGGGCTAAAGACTTTGACACTCAAGTTCTCTCCTTATGCAGGCCACAAGGAAAATGAGCAACTGGATGTTAAAACTCCTTATTTCTTTTAGAGATTATCTTTCAGCTCCCTTAGGGTTTATATTTTCAATAGCCAAAGGGACTCTCAAAACAGAATGACTTCCCAGTAAAAAAAAAATAAGTAAAAATGAAAAATGAACCAATCTTCATTCCAGATGTGAATGTCTCCAAATGTTGCAAGCATATTTAGGAGAAGCATTCCCCTTTAATCTTGCTCCATAAATACTGAACAAGGAAGAATATTGCCTAAGACTGAGATTTGGCTAAATAGTCTAATAAAACCCGTCAGTTCTGTACTACCAGCATGGCATCCCTAAAGGCTCCTGGTGACTGTATGATTATCAAATAATGCTGTCCTACCTTATGCCTCACTTGCAAAACAGTTTCTAACAGCTCACACTTGCTGTAAGAAGGGTAAGAGAAGACTAACTCCCATCCCATACAGCTACCCTTCAGCCTAAGAAAACACACCTACTAAAGCAAATTCACAGAAAAATTAAGAGCCACTATTCCCTTTGCAAAGGAACTGCCTGAGAGTAACTTTAAAATGCCTTTACAATGGATTTAATTTAAGTAACTGTGACTGGCTCACAATTTGGCAAGTGCCCTTGGTGAGACACAGGGTGGATGCCTAACTAAGAGGCAGGTTAAAGGTGCCATGCTTACAAAACACAGCATGCCTGCAAAGGGCATAGGTCTAAAGTCAGAAGGTCTGGGTCCCAGCTGTCACTAATGAGCTGCCTGATGGAGTCACGTTATTTAACTTACTTGGTTTTAGTTTCCTTACCCAGTGATGAAGAATCATTAATAAAAGCCAGTGTTACCTGCAACCCAGAGTTATTAGGAAAATAAAATAAAATGTGAAAAACTGGCCCCACCAGCTTTCATCTTAGAAAGCACAAGGGCATACCCAGAAGTTAGGAAACTCTTTTATTCAAGTATACAGGATGCAAATAAATAAGAGCCACCTAGAAAATCATGTCCATCTACAGTTAGTTGAATCTATGGATATGGAACCCACAGATATGGAGGGCAACTGTACCTGAAAATCTCTGCATGAATTCACTGACCTTGCCAGAAAAGCCAGTACAGGGGAAGGGACTTCCAAGAGACACCCAGAGGGACAGCTGATGGCCTAACACCTAGTGGTTCTCAAACTTTAGTGTGCATCTGAACTGCCTGGAGGGTATGTTAAAACACAGAAATGCAACATTTCTGAGTTAGTAGCTGATGTCGCTGGTCCCCGGGAGGACAACACTTTAGAAACCACTAACATAATAAATGGTTAAGGGCTGCCTAGTCAGTCAGTCCCACTAGACCAACTTTTGATGCCCTAGGACAGTCCTAGGACAGTCACACAGGCAATGCACTCACCCCACTCTGTAGAGGATCAGGCCCTGAGGCCTTTATTTCATGTTTACCAAACATGAACAATGTGCTGAATCCATGGTTAATTAATCCATCACATCCTCACTCTTGGCTGAATGTGCTGGAGGTTGGTGGTTCTCTTTGCTTGGTCACAATGGATTCATCCATCACCTCCCTCCCAAACTGAGCCACTAGAAACGTACTGGGAATTGGGCAGCTGTATCCTTTCCTGCCTCCCCACTCCTCATTTCCCATTCATACACCCATGCTGCTATGGATAAAGAGAACAATTATCAAGCCATTCTTTATAAATCTCTCCCGGGGCTGAGTCCAGCTCTCACCTGTGCACAAGAAGACTCTGCAAAAGGAGTGATTTAGGCAGCAAAAGAGAGGACACAGCAGTGCAGGCAGAGCATTCAAGGGCTCCCCAGCCCAGTTCCCTCTGACCCAGTGTGGAGTCCCTCTCTCAGTGACGAGAGCGTGCCACTGGGTCAGTGCCAGGGAGACGTTGTGACCTGCTTCTCTCCTAATTTTCCTAGTGATCTGCCATCATGTACCGTGATTTCTCACTGAGAGTTCACTTCGTGTCACCAAACTGCCACCCCTGCCAGCAGCCTCAACAACAACTCAGTGCAAAGGAAATCAATGAGTAGCCACAAACACTGCACCCCTGGTGGGTGGCAGGGCAAAACACCTCAAGTCCAGGATCACAGCACTTCTGACCTGAAAGCGACCGCCACAAATATTTCTTTCCTTCCCACACCTGATTACATTATACAGTATGCTATTTTACTAACAGCAGGAGTTACTGCCAAAACAATATTGTTTTTGTTTTATGATGGGGCTAACAGAAGTTCCTACAGAGAGCAGTATTGTGAATAATGTAAATGCTCTGTGGTAACGGCCTATCCTACTAGACTCTCTTCTTTGGTTTAAATGGGGAAAATCTGGCCAATTTTCATACACACGTCAGCTTGCTTTTTTCTGGCTATGGTACAGAAAAGGTTACACAGATTGTAGGGCTGAAAACCAGCTTCAGGTTAAATAAGGAAAAAGAATGGAGAGTGATTCATTCATAGCATTTTGGTAAATATAGACACTGTGTTTGTTTATAAATACTCAGCCTGTAAGATGATCTTGTGTGCACAAATGGACATATTGGTTGGAACAAATATGATTTTCCCATCCATTAATAATCAAAATCCAATGAGCTCTCTCTCACATGCAAAACTGCATCAGTTCCCATGCTCCGAGTGCCTGACTTGGTGTAGACCCAGCATTCTCCAAAGCAGTAACACCAACACAGCCTCCACTTACCCCAAAATCATGAATCAGCCTCAGATATCTCACACGCAAGACATGGACCACAAGCCCAGCTGTATTCAGAAAATTCTGGAGCAGAAGGACAGCTCATTCTCAATAACAATATTGGCTGAGGCTTCAAGAACATTGATTAAAAACTCTTGCACCCTCCTTACACACAAAAGAATCCACTCATTTGCATCCCTAAATGAGGCCATGCACAAGCTGCCTTCACACTCAACACCCATGGTGGTTCCTGTCCTCACCTGTTTTCCAGGAGTGTCATGCACACCACCTCTCTCACCCCAGGGTTGTTGGCCTTCTCCACGGAACAGCCCTGCAAGTTCCAGGTAGCCAGCCTCAGCACAGGCCTCCCATCCCTTGTGCCTCCAAAGGCCTCCACGGAGGGCCGAGTGGAGATAATCTGCGTGGGCCCCCCTGGTGGCAGGTCCAGGTCCTCACTCTGCAGGCTCAGGGAGGTAGGGCTCGGGTGAGGCTTGGCGGTGAAGGTCAGGCCCCCGTTTGTGTGGGTGGATGGTGGCCTGGACCGCTCAGCAAACACCTGGTGTCGTATCCTGTCCAGGAAGGCGGCATTGATACCATCCATCCTCACTAGGTCCTCAACGCTGCGAAAGGGCCCATGCTCGCGCCGGAAGTCCACGATGCTGAGGGCCATTTTCTCCGAGAGGCCTCGCACACTCATGAGCTGGGCCGGGGTGGCTGTGTTGATGTTGACACGCGGGGTGAGGGGCACAGCTGTGGCCAGGTGGTGAGGCTGCTGCTCCGCCAGCAGGTCCCGCCGCAGGGAGCTGGGAGAGTGCTGCGCGGAGCTGCCCTTGCTGCTCACACAGATCTCAAACTTGACCTGCTCCAGCTTGGTGGCGCCTACACCACTGACCAGTGCCAGGTCCTCCACCTTCTTGAAGCCACCAATATACTCTCGGTATTCCACAATGCTGCGTGCCACAGCACGTGTTACACCAGGCAGCGTCATCAGCTCCTCCTCTGTGGCAGTGTTGATGTTGAGCCGCTCCTGATTCACCAGGATGTTGCTGAAGTTACAGGCTGCGCTGAACTTGCGGCTATGGGACAGGTCCGAGGGGTCCCTCGGGATGGAGCGGTGGCAGCCCAGGGTGCTCCCCATGGTCCTCCAGGATCAGGGCCCAGGAAGGCCTCACCGCTGCAAAAGAGATCTCTGGCTTGGGAGGAAGCCCAGTAGGGCGTACAAGCACTGAAAAATGGAAGGTGCAGGATTCAAGGGCTGAAGAGGTGGTTACTATAGACACACCGAATCCTCCATGCCGTTCACTTGGCCGCCTAGAAAATAAATTAATAAACATAAAACATATTAATAAACATAAAAATCCATTGAATTAAGCAATTTGCGTTAGCACCCCCTACCCAGTGCTAGAGTTAGTAACCAGGAGTCCGGGGCTGGTGACTACTGTGAGCCCCTAAAAACACAGGCACAATGAGGATTGGCCCATCTGGAAGGACGTCCGGATTTTACCACATTGTAAATCCAAAAAGGCTACGAACCGCTTCTCTTGGGAAGAGACCCATCACCATCAGCCTCACGCTTCTCCTCTGGGCTTCTCTCAACTCTGGCACCTGGGTCACCCCCACTCGGGCTCACGAAGACGGGAGGGCCACCCCACCTCCCCCACGGTCTGCGTCTGACACAGCGCCACCTGCAACCTGCGAAGTCCGTGCTCACCGGTGCGGGCACTGATAAGGGGCTTATTGACCCCCCCACTTGACTCGCCGCGGGTTCCCGTGCACCACCTCTGGGCCACTCCGCGGGGCGCCGGTTCCTCTTCCACCTGCGGCTCTGAAGCCTAAGCCCAGCCCCGGACAGCGCGGGCACCCTGCCTCCAGTCGAGGCGCCCGCGGAGGTGCAGGTCACTGGCCGGGCCCTGGAAGCCTCCTACGCCGCCTCGGTCTGCCTGTCCCGGCTCTTTCTGCGGGAGAAACTCAGCATCGCTCTCTCAGAGTGAACAAACAGAAGCCGCGGGGCTGCTCGAAGACGGCGGCAGCGGCGGCGAAATCCGCCGCGGAGGCTGCACCAAGACTTGCGGCGGCGCCGCAGCTGCGTTTATCCCGGCAAAAAGTCCCGAGCCCAACTCGGGCACGGGATCCGCCAGAGCCGGTCCAGACACAGCACCAGCCACAAGGCTCCGGTTCTCAGGCGGTGTCAAAGCCAAAGTCCCGGCCGCGCCGCTCACGCCTCAGCAGACACCACGGCCACGCCTCCTCCGCGCGGTAACTCCTCCCCGGGACTCCCGAGGGCACGAGGGGGAGGGGCCCGGGCGCGGGGCGCGGCCTGGCACCAGGGGGTGGAGAGAGGAACCCAAGAGCGCAAGGGCGGGCCTGGAGTTCGGGAGGCGGGGCCTCGGTGGAGGGGGCGGGGCCAGGGCTCAAGAAGGTGGAGAGCGAACCCGAGAGCGCGAGGGGCGGCCCTGGCGTGCAGAGGCGGAGCCATGGGGTGCGGGGGCGGGGTCTGGCACAAAAGGTTGGAGAGCGGAACCCGGGAGAGCGTGGGGCGGGCCTGGAGTGCGAGAGGCGCGGTCATAGAGTGTGGGAACGGGTCCAGGGGGCAAGGAGGTGGGAAGCGCAGGGGCGGGGTCATGAGCGCGGGGGTGTCCCGGAAGCGCAGACGCCGGACTTAGGGGCTGAAGGGGCGGAGCCGGCGCCGTGCCAGGGAGGGCGGTTCACATGGAGGCTGTCCTAAGTCAGCTGCCCCTGGACCAGGGTTGCCGCCCGGGACCTAGGACTGGTTGTGCTCGGTAGAGGCTGTTGAGGATCGCCCGAGGCGAGACCTGCCCAGCTGCTGTTCGTCCATCTTTGAGGTGTGGGGATGAAGGCCGGGGCAGTCCCTGAGAGGGCATCCCTGTAGGTCCAGGGTCTCACGGAGTTTTGCAGAACGTTCCAGAGGGGACTGAATGGGGTCGTCTTAATTTCTGTCCCCACTTTCAGCCTTTTCTTTTCTTCCACCAGTGTATTACCTTTGTTCCTTTCAGAGAGATGTCCTCTAATAACGCCAGCGATTGATTGTGCCCCTAGCAGAGGGCACGCACCACCCTCTTGTGTTCGCATAGGTCAAACACAGGTTTGCTCCTTTGCACATTTAGCGCTGTGAGTAAACAAGGATACGTTTCTGTAATTATTAAGTCTCATCATTACAAAGAAAGGAAATGAGGGCTGCTTCCCAAAGCTTAGAATGGCTTTTGGATCGCACTGCTGAATGACAATTTGGTTAAAAATTAAAGAGCCCGCTGCATTATAGTGGATACCCAGAGCTAGAGTATTCGATTAAGCAAACCATGCAGTGATACCGTTGAATACTTTGACCCTGACCGTTTAACGTTCTCTGAAGTTTCATTCCCAACCAATGTGACCAGTGCATCTGGTTTCAATTCCAAGGACTGGGTGAGCAAAAATAGTACCTCTCACAGGCAGAAGGTATTTCGAATGTAAAATGAGCCGCAGCCCAGGTTTGGAAAATGCTTCTGCCTTTCTGAGGCACATTCCCCTCCTGTGTATATTAGTCAGAAAAACCAAGTCAAATTAGCTTAGACCAAAAAAGGGGGGTTTCTTGGTTCCTTGTGGAAAAGTTAAGGTAAGGAACTTACCTCAGGTATGGCTGCATCCAGCCAAGTGTTGTCATCAGGACATGGTAGGACTCCCTCCATCTCTGGCTCCACGGTCCTCTTTGTTGGCTTCATTTTTAGGCAAGCTGTCTCCACTTGATGGCAAAAATGCCTTCCTCCCTACCACCCCCTTCCAACCAAACACTGAGCTACGTTATGCCACTTACTGAAATCCTGGTGCAGTAAGGAAAAAATTGTTTAAGACAAGCAGGAAAACTTTTCTAAAGAAGAGAAAGCTCTTCATTGAGCAGAATGCCTTGATGGGCAACGTGGCTGTAGAAGAACAGACGGGGAGCGTAGCTACTTGGGCTAGAAGCAGAGAAAACATATTTTTATCATCCAAACCAGGACACTTTGGAGGTGAAGAGCGGACATTACTGATAATATCCTAGAACAAAATAATCTGGTTTTATTCCCACATAAACCTAGAAAATGCTCCCTCTTGGTATAAATGAAGCCAAGCGTTGGCTAAACCAAAGTACATTTAAAAACACACATACATACACCCCACAAAAGCATGCAATGAGATGACTAACTTTAAAATGACTGATTGTATCCAATGTTGATGAGGACACAGAGCAATTGAGATGGTCATACATTGCTGGTGGAGGTGTAAGATGGTACAACTACTTTGGAAATCAGTTTGGGAGTTTCCTAAGAAGTTAAATATATACCTATCATGTGACTCAACTAATCTACTTATAGGTATTTACCAAAGAAAAAAGGAAAGCATGAAACCCAAAGACTTGAATGTGGGTATTCATAGGAGCTTTGCTTGTTATAGCCAAACACACACACACACACACACACACACACACACACACACACACGGAGCAAATCCACCAGTAGGTGAATGAATTGTAGTATATTCAGACAATGGAATGCTACTGAGCAATAAAGGTAAGCTATTAGTACACACAACATTGAAAAATCTCAAAATTGTTAAACTGAATGAAAGAAGCAAGGCAAAAAAGAACATACTGTGTGATTCTATTTATATAAAACACCAGAAAATACAAACTGATATACATATAGAGAAAGCAGATCAGTGGTTGCCTGGGGATGAGGGGGAGGGAGGAATGAATTTTAAAGGGCATAGAGAAACTTTGGGTGCTGATGGCAATGTAGTTTGAGAGGTGATAGTTTCATGGGCATATGAATGTCAAAACTGACAGAATCATATACTTTAAATATCTGCATTTTGGTGTACTTCAGTGACAACACAACAAATTTGGAAAAATCTTCAAAAAATGAAAAAAAAAATATTTTCTGAACCTAAAAAAAACAAGGCATTGTTTTGGGGGAGAGTGGTGTAGGTGAGCCTGGGTGGAGTTGAGAAGGTTGAGGGGGATAAAGGGGTCAAGAAGAAGTTGAGCAGACAGCTAACAGAAGAGAACATTCCCCAACTTGGCTTGGGGGGCCCAGGAAAGGGGGCAACAGAGGCCTTTAAACTGATGATGTCTAAAAGTCTACTTTATCTCCTGTGCTATTTCATGATGCAATCCTCCCACCCCTACCCCCATGCACAGACACTAAATCTTTGCAAGATACATATGTAATGGCCTTCCATAGGTGATGTTTAGGAGAGATAAAGTAAAGGAGCTGAATCTTTCCGGGTAGATTAAAGACAGAAAGAAAAAGAGCAGCTAAAATACGAAAAACAAGAGGGAGAGAGATCCAGGATTCAGTGGAAGCAGAAAATCAGAATGTGAGGAGACCCAGGGAAATATCTGACTTTCAAGAATCCTCATTGTGTTTGGGAAGTTGGCTTGGGGTCTCATTCTACAATGAATGGGAGTTTGATTTGCATTTTATTATTTTGGGCTGTAGCTGACATCTGAGCTATATGAGGGTGTCCCAGGGCAAAGGTTACATCATTCCAGCCATACACCACATCCTGTGGCCACTGCCCCTTACGACATAGCTCTCACCTGGGGCCTGGTCAGAGAGGACCAAGGTCATTGGCCTTTTGCTTCTTAGTCAGCAGTGTCAAAGTGAACTGGAGAAGGGAGAGGTAGCAGACAGCAAGAAGGGGAAACATTTGTCAGTTTTCAATTTCAACACCCACGGAGCTAGGCACTGGAGGTACAGTGAGGAGCACATTCCTGACTCTTCTATTCCTGGAGCTGATGGGCCAGCAGGACTGCAGACACTAAATCAGTGAGAGTAGTGCCTGTTGAAACAGGAGAAGGGAAGAGAATTTGGACGTAAATTACAAGTGATTTCTGCTAGGCAACTTTCTGGGAAGTGAGGGTCAAGATGAGATTTGCAAGCTGAATAGGGAAATTTTGCCCCGACCCATAAGCCCTCAGTCCTGGCAAAACAAGCCCAGTCAATGAGCTTCAGTCAGGCTATTGACAGTGACCTTGGCATCAACTTGTGTGCAGTGGCCAAGCTGGATGCTGTCCTGAATTATTTCAGTGTGACAAGGCAATGTCTCCTTTAGTGTGACCTCAACAGTGGTTTTGTCCCTCCCTATCAGAGTAGGCTCCCTGTGTTCCCAAACTCAGGAAACTACAGTCATTGGCAGTCCACTTGCACATTCTACATCAGATCCTGTCTCACTGGGAGTCATGGCAGAGGATGGCACAGAATGACCACAGACAGACACCATGAACAAACACCATGGACAGACACCATGATGGGACAATGAACAAACCTTCATTGTCTACACACAGGCATGGAACGCTGCTTTATCTTCTGCTCCTGTCTATAGACACTCAGCCAGAAATCCCACCACCAGGAGCATTTTCATCCACTTCTCTAAAGGAGTCCAGTGCTCTGCTGCATAGCAGTGTGTGATAGACTGTCCATGAATGCCCAGTGGGTCCAGCCTCCCTGCACTCTCCTGCCTGTGTGATCCCTCCCTACATTCACTCCAAACTTGGCCATGTGATTTGTGAGAGTGAGACAAACAGAGACAAGCACTAGTCCATTCCTCCTGGAATATTCCCTCCTGGAATCCACCCAGCTGCCATGCTATAGGGAAGTATTGACTTTCCTGTTGTGACTAAGAGGCCACAGGAAGAAAAACTGAGGCACCCCAGCCCTCAATCAGCACCAGGCCCTCAGACTGTGAGAGAATCCTCTGGGACCTTGCAGTCCAGCCCAGTCAACAGTGGATTTGTCCCTCCCTATCAGAGTAGGCTCCTGGTGTTCCCAAACTCAGGAAACTATAGTCATTGGCAGTCCACTTGCACATTCTACATAAGATCCTGCCCACAGGAGTGGGCCCAGCAGAGACCCCAAGGAGCAGAGCAACCACCCAGCTGAGCCCATCCACCCACAGGACATGAGAGAGGATACACTGGGATTGTTTTAGAATTATACACAATGGGGTGGCTGTCTCAGAGCAGTATTTATCATACAGATGTGACCCTCAGGCCTTGTTTCCCAGCAACAAGAGCCACTGCACAGCTTCAGGGAAGGCCTCTTTATAGCCATTGGCAGTTGTCCCACTCTCGGGATGCTCTTGCAGGCCTCGGTTTCTGTTGAGGATAGTGTCTTTGTTATCATTTTCAGGTGGGTCACGAGAGCATTTTCAAGGGTTCAGTACCC